ACTTCCCGAAGTTGCAAAATTTGACATGTTGCCGCTTGACGTGCCCGTCTTTGGAGGCTTGTAATTTGGCCTGTTCTAAACGGAATTTTAACGATTTTTAATCTGGAATAATCCTCATATCTGAACATGGTGAATAGTTTAATTCCGGTAATAATAAACAACGGTACAGTAAAAATATAGTTTCGAACAAAAACAAGAAAAACGTGTCTTTAAATTTTTAAGAAAGACATTTTGTGTAGAATTTTTTGTGCTACAAACTACCAAAATTTGGGGATGGGAATTTTTTGATACCGAGAGTTACGAGTCAGAAAGAAATATGAAACTGAGATGAAAAACTCATTTTTTTTTACAGTAATTCCATACATTTTACAGTGGTGAAGCCATGCGGGGCCGCTTCTGAAGGCCGCAGCTGGCGGTTATAAATATCCATTACGCTTTAAACGTTGAAAGTTCGCCACCAAAGTTGTACTTTACTATAATAATGTTAACAAGTTATTCTATAGAGTTGTAAGAGGTAATCTTCACTCCAGCGTTTTCTACTTTTCGTGCTTTATTCTGTCAAGACTGTAGATAGCGTACATTTTGGCGCCCCAAAGAAGTGTAAGAACTCGCTGCTTTACCTGGATAACTATTAGATTAAGGTTTTTCTTAAAACTTTTGTGTTTTTGGAGAAATGCAGCTCATAATTTCAAATAAGAACAAGTTGAGCTTAACGGAAACTTTAATGAGTACAAGACAATCACAATTCTAAGAGCTCAGGAGCCATGACGTACAAGAAGTAGAAAGAGCTAGAGTAAAAACTACTTCTTATAACTCTGCAAAATAATAAATTGTTAATATTAAAGTGAAGTACAGCTTTGGTTATAAACTTTCAACGTTTAAAGCACACCGGATTTTTATAAAGATGTCTGCGGCCTTCAGAAGCGGTCCTAAATGATCTCACTACTGTAAAATACATGGGATTCCAGTAAAAATCGTGGTTTTTTTCAGGATATTGGAAAATCGCTATCTCCAAATCTCGATATGATGTAAAGCAAAAATTTCTACAAAAAATATATCTTTTTAAAGAATTTAAAGATACGTTTTCTTTTCTTTGTTTGTTTGATTTTATTTTTATTGTAACTTTGTGTATTTTTATCGGAATTAAATTATTCAACGTTCTTTTCAGAACATGAGAAATATGCCTGGATTAAAAATCTTTAAATTCCATTAAGAACAGGCCAAATTACAAGTATCCAAAGACGGGCATGTCAAGCGGCAACCTGGTAAATTTTGCAATTTTGGAAGGGTGTCAGTTGGCGGGGAATTCACTTTTTCAGGTTTTTCCCAGCTTTCACTATATTGGCTTAGATTTTATTAGGTCGAGTTCAAAAGTCTGCGATTTGGCATGGAACGGCCTATATATATAAGCCACTTCATGGCCGTTCACAAACTTCTTCCATTTGTTATTTTAAAGCATCTTCAAACTTTGCTGATTAGCAGAATCTAGATTAGCATAAAAAGTGCCAGAAAGAGAACCTGAAAAAGTGAATCTCCTCAAAATTGCAAAATTTACTAGGTTGATACTCAAAGTGCTTATCTTCAGGAGCTTGTAATAAGGCTATGCTTTGATAGGACTTGGAGATTAGCTCATTGGATTTGCCATGAGCTCTTCTATTAAAAGCATAGTAAATAATTTAATTCTGCTGAGTAGTTTTATAGATGCAAGAAAAATAAACTTTGAACAGGTATAAGAGGAAAATGTGTCTTTAAATTTTTTAAAAAAATTTTGAGTGAACTTTTTGCCCTATAATATAGCAAAAATGGTGATGATGATTTCTTATTCTCCGGAGTTACGAGCCGGAAAAGACTTTGACACTGAAAAAAGCTACTTTTTTCACGGTAACCCGCGCATTTCTCCAACGAACCCATGTGTGTTTTAATAGATGAAAAATCGTTACAAAAGTTATATTTTGCTTCATAATACTAAATATTTGTTAATTTATAGGGTTGTGAGAAGTAGCCTTCATTTCACTCTTTTCAAGTTCTCATCTTTCTGTCGGGTTGTTCAGTTTCCTATGTACTTTGGCGCCACGAGGAATTCTAAAAGCATATTGCTTCAGGCAGTTAATTGTTAGGCTCAGCTTTTTCATAAATTTGTTGTATCCTGTGCGTTTTAAAGGACTACAGCATGCGCTGTTAAGAGAAGAACGATGAGTTGAGCTTGTATTTGCTTGTATAAGTAGAACGCTGAAGAGCAGAGTACGAATACGTTAAAAGGGAGTTAGCAGTCTTTTTCACGAATACAATTCAAAAAGCTTCCTACTCCCTTTCCTCGCTGACCCCTCAAGCACTAAGATAAAATTCCTGAATTACATGGCTTCTTTGCTCAAAAAACTAGCTATTTTATAAAGTATGCGTTAAATAAAAAGTTGTTGTTACCTCTGTTTTGAAAGCTATATGTGCTTCACATAACTCATTCAACTGCAATATACAAAAAGGAAAAAAGAATGCAATAAGGACTACTTTTTACAGCTTTGCGATTCAGTGAATGTTTAGTATTTCAAAGTGAAATACCAAATTTTATAAAATGTCTTCACCGATTAACGTTCACCGTGTTCAGTAGTTTCTTAATCACTCTTTGTGGCTTTGAGAAGCAGCTCGAGACAGCTCTGGTACTGAAAAATGCTTGGGTTTACTGTAAGAACAGTGGGTTTTTTCATTTTCAGAATCTTTTCGGCTCGCAACTCCTGAATGCAGAGAAGCGCTTTCACCAAATTTGTGATATATTATAAAGCAAAAAGTTTTACACAAAATTTGTGTTTTTTTTTTTAAATATTGAACACGTTTTTTTCCTTTTAATCCTTATTTATAGTTTTGTTTTTCTGGTATTCATACAATAAGCATGTCAAGTAGCAAACAGGTAGATTTTTGAATTTAGGTGGGTGAAAGTTGATTAGGGATTCACATTTTCAGCTTCTCTCTTTGGTTTCTTCTATGCTGCCTAGACCCTTTTAACCAGCAAAGTTTGGAGAAATTTTGAGGCATTAATTGAAAAAGTGTGTGAACGGATGTGGAATGGCTTATATACATTGGTGCCTTAAGTGGTCACAGATAACATTTAAACAGTGAGCTTTACAGGAAGGAGAATGTGATAGTAATTGACGGGTCTTTCAAAAGGAATAGGTATTCAAAATGTAAAACTGCGCACGATTCTGCCATTCGCACGACATCTTTTGGCGCCAGAACAACTCCGTACTTCAAACCTTCGCGTCGTGGAGCTGTTTCGTTTACGCCGCGCATCAAGATCCCTTTACGGAAATCAAAAGCTTCTGCTCAGAGAGAATCTAGATTTTTTGATCTATTGACAGAAAAATTCGAGTTTCTCGACGATATTAAGAAGGAGAAGACGGAAGTGTTGAAAAGTTTGTCGAACTTCGTGGAATGTGACAACGGCGAAGAGATCAAGACAGTGCTTGCGGTTAACAAGGACAGTGTCAATCGTCAGGGTTGTCCTTGCCTGGCACCAAAAATTTTTGAAGAAGAGGCCGAAGAAAATAATGATGGAGGGGGCACTGGAATTTGCATGTCTTCACCAAGTTTTCTAAAGGCAGTTTTTTAGGAACTGTTTCAACTTAAGGTCTTTTAAACTTGACATTCTATTTAAACTCTTTTTCATTTTCTATTTGTTGAATGCACCTATTTTTATTAGATCATATTTTTAGATGTTGGAGGATTTCACTTCTTTAATTAAACATCGAATACCAGTTGCTCCAAACTGTGAAGGCATTTCCAGCGGCTCGGTTTGTCACGTCTTATCGACTAAGGGATATTGCCTTAGGGATCGTAATACAGGGAAGAAACGGTTAGGACATAGCAGTTACGGGGTTTTGAAAATCAAGGATGAAATAAAGGCTGCCACCCCTGAGGGTCGTGAAATTGCTAAAGACAATGATTACGTAAGTACTTGGACAAATGATATGTTAGTAGCCTTTAGTTGTAAATTCTTTTTATGGAAAAGAGCAGGAGAACTTTTAAAGTTGGGGTTGAAGAAGTACTAATGGCTGCATTCTTTGCATGACAAACGCCTTGCACATTTTCATTTTATTTAAAAAATGGTTTCCAAGCGTATAAAAGCTGAGGGATAGGACTTTTGACACTAAAACCATCATAATCACTGGGCAACTGCAAATACTCTATATTTAATCTGCAATAAGCATACCTGTAGCAGTTGGTGAATCTCGCGTCCCGGAGTTGTCTCTTTGGGGACTTCTGCTGAAGTACTGTTAAACGCGTGAAGGAGGTAGGATATTGCATAGATGGTTTTTTAATGGTCCGGCTTGTATTGATGGTAATAAAATCTACTTAGTGTATCGTATTCCTCAGCATTTCGAGAGCTTCAAACAAGTTTTTGTTGTATGGAGTAGTAGTACTTCATCTCTTTTATTAGCATGTTCAGCTTTTTAAACACTTAGCTTTGCCATCTAGGTAGCAGAATTTAATTTGTTCTGGTTCATTCAGAATTGAGGTATTAGGGCTATGAAAAGGGGAGAGGTGGAGGGAAACACTTACTAAAAAGGAGAAAAACTCCTGATTGTTTTTTGGTAAGTTCTCTAGTAACAATTTAACGGATGTTTAACTCCTAATTTTTCTGTTTTAATTTTTTGAAGAGTGTTGCTCATCAAGAGATTTTTCTAAGGGAACAGGGTGACAACCCTCTAGAGCGATTGTAGAGGTATCAAGTTCTGTGCAGTATTTCTGAATAAAAGGGGGTTAGTGTTGGGCGCTACTTTTGTAGTGGAAATCATATTCCATTTCTGAAGGATTAGCTTGATATGCTTATACGTTTTAATAAACGGCGTTAGATCTAGTGTTGAAGACCAGTTTTAATATCAAAGTGATTGCTGGTTTGATAGGTGGAGAGGTTTGGTTCAGTAACGTGGTTTTTTGTTTTGTTTCGGAAGAACGAAGTCTTTCAAATTTTTTTTGTGGAGTTTCTGTTCTTAGCCACCTCTTCCATTAATGGAATCCGCTTTTTGGAAGGATTAATTGGTTTTCTGTTAGATTGGACCGCATAAGTACACTTGTGATTTATGTGCCATTCTAGTGCCATCCGCTATAGTCTTTATGACCGAAAGTCATCAGTTCTTGATAGTGTGTATTTATTGCTTTGAACTTTTTTTGAATAAATTCAAGAAGTAAAGGAAGAGGCTAATTAGGTGCGGTTACATGACTTTTTGATAAAAGAGTCGTATTTCATCTCGTCGAAGTTTTTAAAGGATGACTTCTCAAGTTTCGTAGTTTTTATTTTCCTCAATTTAAGATTATCCTCTTTCTTTCGTAAGAATTAGTGTATAACTTATTCAGTACTTTTTAATTTTCACTTGTAAGGTTTGAATGTTCGTTACTGCCAAATCAAAGCTTTGTTAATTTTTGAAACTTACAGGCTTCGTCGGACGAGGAAGATTTGTCGCCGGGTGAGTCGAGTAATAAGAGGCCGAATAGGAAAGGGTATTATTCAATTGAGCGGATACTGGCGAAGAAAACCGTGCTTGTTAGTCTTTTTTTTTAAGCATCAGATTTTGCGTTTCTCGCACCTTAATCGAATGGTTTTTAGCGTACATTCAGAAAGAAGGTTAAAAATGTTGATTATTACTATCTAAAATGGACTGGTTGGGCTCATCGTTTTGACAGTTGGGAGTCGGAAAGAAATTTAGGCCGAGTTACTTGGGTTGTAAGTTTTTTCTACCTTATGAAACTTTTACTGCTGTTTTTTAGAATTTTTTTGTTTTTTTAAATTTGCTTTGTGAATAAGTTTTGACAATTTCACTGTTTTATTAATTTACTAGTGATAGGGCGTGCGATTTATTAGGTTTGGATTTGACATTTGAAGATGAATTTGTGTCAAGTTACTCATGTGAGCTGAAGCTGGTCTTTATTTTTATGCACTTATCTAAGAGAATGGACATACATTGCTTTTATCGAAAGGTTGCTTTGCAGCTGTGGATTGCCCTACCAGCAAGGTGCTTCCATTCTTCAGAGGGTTTCTGCTTATCTTATCTGCTTGCAATTTTGCTTCTGTAGAACCTAATGATTGTGTACTGTAAGTAACGATTGGAGTCCTTCGGCTCCGTCGTTGAAGCAGTGAGACTGAACGTGTGTCAGTTGTTTAACTCTTCTGTTACGCAAAGTTTAAGGTTATGTAAGGTTATTCTGAGCTTTGTTTTAGACAGTGAGATAAGAAATGTTTATCTTAGTCTTTTGTGAGGGTTTCTTCCTGAAAAGTTTTGCAATGTTGGCATGACATCTTGGGTCCTCGCTGTGTAAAAGCAGCGGCATACAAAGGTAGACGTACTTGGAAAACTTCAAAGGAGAATTGGCCATCACAATAATTTTGGCTGTTGCGCATTGATACTTTTGAGTAAAATTTGTTCTTCCAATTGTTACTCTTAAAAGGAACAGAATTTTCTGGAAATGAATTCGTTTATGGTTTAATGTTACCGCTCTGGATATTTTTAGATTGTGATTTATCAGTTCCAATTTTTCTAGTTCTGTGAAAATAAAACCCAAAATACTTTGTCAGTAGTAATACTTTCTTCATAATTGTGAACATTTAACTCTCTGGTCTTTGTTAGAAATACTTAAATAAACTTTATTATGAGTCAGGGGCTAAGATACTTTATACTTTTCTCGCTTCTTTTTGACTAATAAAAACGTACTACTTTCTTACATTTAGAAAACTTTCGTTCTAAAAACTCTATCTTCTGATAAAGAGGTACAAATTAGGTTAAAATGAAGGGGGTTTAGGAAATGAAGTCTAGGTTTCTTTTTTAACAGAAAATAGCTTGAATTTCTTCAGTTATTGCTAATAACATCAGGTCATAACTGTACTTTAAATTTTTGTAGTGCGTGAATCAGAAAGTCAAGATTCTGTTGACTGCCTTTTATAATTAGTGGCTTTCTTGCTCGTTTTTTTGCTGTTTCTTCCCACTTTTAATTGAATTTAGATGTCGGAGTTCAAAACTCGTGAGAAAGCTCTTGAATGTATAATCAAAGATAAAGATTACCAAGTGAAAGATGAAAACCTCCGCCAGCTGCGAAATTTGCATCGTTGGGAAATGGAGATAAACGACAAATTGAAAGAAAAAAATTTCAAACCTTTGTATATTTACAATGATGTAAATAGTGCGTTACGCCCGAAAAATTTCACGGTACGCATTCCATTATTTTCACTTACTTTTATGTTGTATTGTATTGTCAGTATCACTGTTTTAGTATATAACGACAAATAAACTACCAGAGGAAATGGCAGCTATAATTACAAAGTCTGAAACTCACTTTTGCAACTGTGATACTGATTACTGCAGCCTTTTTTCGTCGTGTTGCCCGGCGGTAATGATATTCTTAGTTACTTCGGTTCACTACTATTTTCTGCTCCTAGTTAACTTTCTTTTCATTTTTCTTTTTTTTTTTTTTTGGAGGATGTTTCTCGTGCTGATTAGTTCTCTCCGCTGCTTTCAGTTGGAAAATAACGAATATTTTTACACCAAAGCTGGACACTTACGACAGCAATACCATCATACTCAAGGAAAGATTATTGAGTGTAACAACAGCTGCAGGTGTGATTCTAAGTGCCCCACAAAAGTTGTTCAGGTGTTAATATACTTTCTTCTGGGACTTCTTTATATAAGAAGGGGAATTAGATGGTCTAAATAGTTTGTAAGATGAGTTTCTTCTTTGAATTTTGGCGTTATTGCAACCAGTTTTAAAAATGCTGTCTGTACTATTGAAATGATTGCCTGGAGATATAGTATCTAATTTGCAGAGGGAAGTATATGTCTTGCATAGTGTGTTTTCATTTTCTGAAGTTTTAAAAAGAGTATGCTTTGATTTGCTTTAGTTATGACGGGTTCAAAAAGCCGTGTACAAATGTGTAGCCTTTTTTTAGCGAGGAAGACGCCACGTTGTTGCAATTGCTCAAACTGAGAATTGTGGCTGGGGTGTTTTTGCGTTAGAAGATATACCTGCAAATCGTTTTGTCGTTGAGTATGTGGGAGAGGTAATTTGAGATGTGATTTCTTTTAATCTAGACAAAGTAAATGTTTTACCAAGTTTACTGGGATATAGGTAAGCTTGAGTTTTTCTAGGTGCTGTCTGTAGAAGAAGCACGGAAGTCTCGAGACCCATACTACCAGTTCGAGATTGGTGAAGAAGGTGGTGTTTCTTATATAATTGATGCAAAAAATTTTGGAAATGAAAGCGCTTTTATTAACCATTCCTGCGAGCCAAATTTAGTAGCAATTCCTATATATGTTGAACGGACGATTCCTGGTTATCATCGAATCGGCTTTTTTACTGCAGTTGATGTGAAAAGAGGTTAATCTTGGCTAGTCGTTCTTTCTTATTGCACCTGCATGACATAGGCTAAATGATTTTGCATTTTTTTCTAAAAGGCTCTGGGAAATTAGAAAATAAAATATTTATATTAGCGCTTGAAATATTTCTACGACTCCACCGCTTTATCAGTTTTGATTCAGGAGAAGAGTTAACATTGGATTATTTTAATAACCCTTCAGAAGAAAAAAATTACATTCGGGACGAGGACGGCATCAAATGCCAGTAAGTTGAGTTTGCTATGGTTTCTAATTTTGTTTTCCAACTGTTTTTTAGCCGCTTTTTTTTACAGTTGTGGAGCTAAGTCATGTAAAGGGTACTTCCCACAAGTAATGCGTGATGACCTTTCACCAAAGAAGGCAGATGAGTTATGAGCGTTTAAACGCAGTTCGCATCCTGGCATAAGGTTCTGTGAACCACTTCTTACTGATTCTGTTGTAATTAATTTGATATGTAATATATGTGTGGTGGTGAGGTGCATTACAGAACTCCACAGTTTACCAAATTGAGTTTTTTCAACCTGGTGTTTAAACTGTTAAAAATAAAGCAAAAAATGTTCAAAAGCAAATGCAAGAGCGAGATTTTTACTGAAAAGCCGTTGTCACCGTCTGAAGTCTTTAGCAGGTCACTTTTGAAACCTCCGTTTATCTGCTTTTTAGCTAGAGCGTTCCACCGTAACCTTTTACTCCCTGTCTAAATTACTGTGGTGAGCTGCAGTAATAGGAGGGCTAAAATATTACCGAGCTAGAAGTGAAGTTTAAAAATTAGCCGAAAATACGCTTGATTTATTCGCATTCCATGGTCAGGTTTTTCTATGCGTTTGCTTTGATATTTTTTCCATAGGTTGATGCACAATTCAATTTGGTAAAATGACAAAACTGCGAAACATTTCAAACGTTTCTTACCCGTGTCGCTTTGTACTTTTGATATAATGTGCATTTTTCTGTGAGATCTCTTGGCTATACAGTTATGTTGCATATTGTGATGTCCGTTCTGTCAATTGATATTAATTTTTTCACATTATTCTATTCAACGTTTAAACACTTCAATATTGAGGATATTATTAATTAAATTGTCTGTATGTTTCCTCTTATAGAAAATTCATTGCTGTTGAGTTGTTTGTCAACTGAGCATTTGAGAGTTGGTTAGTGGGGAATGTGTAGCGGTAGATAGTGTCGGGTAAAGTAGTTTGCATTTAGTGATATTTTAATTTGGTCTTTCGTTGCCTTCAAAATGGTGCTAATACATTGTTTTACTAATAAAGTATGGATTTGGTCATAAATTTTGTTTGCTGGAAGTGCGTAATGCTGGTTGAATTTCTGGTGTTCCCAATGGAGAATCCGCAGGTGACTTCCAGAAAATTGATGAGTGGGATTGGTTGCAGGGTCGTAGACGAAGAGCTGAGAAGAAAAACCGGTAGACAAGTTGGTTTGAAAGGTGGCTTTTGGTTAGTGGGACGGGTGCTTGTTGCGTTTCCTGGTCCGAGGTGGTTGTCTTCGCTCCCTGCTCTCCTGGCTTTCGCGGTACCAGCTGTGCCAGCCCTGGGAGTTCATTAGCGGCCAATTTAATCTATACTTTGTTTTGGTTGAGTTGTGGCTTGGATGACGTCAATCCCAGTACTTCGTAAGATTCCAGTGAAGTTCGGTTAAGGTTTGCAAAATATTGAGATAAGACGGTCGGAAATTTGATGTACTACATGTTGTCGAATCCTGCTGTTACAACTATTGGTGTAAAGCAGCAGGAGAAAATCAGTTTTTGAAGCATATAATAGAAGGACATTGACGAGGTTGGCAGAGTCAGCTAAAAAGTTGTTTTTCTGTGTCATTGCTATAAGACCTTATGTGAGCACTAATAAATTCTGTTAAGGATGCTGAAAGAGTGGTTCAGGTAATTGATTTCTGCGTGCACTGTTCGATAACTTTCTGGACGTGCCACCGTTGATCTGTCTTTGTACTTACTGTACCAGTTGAAAGCTTCTCAAAAAAGAGCTTCAGCAGATACGCCCAGGCGGTTGTACTTTTGTTGACCAGTTTATTTTGGGCTTAGTAAAAGGATGCTTTTTTTACCTGTTCAAGGTGTTTCGCAAATCAGGTGTGATGTAAGTTATTGCGGTGGATTACTCTAATCTTGGCCGCAGACTTCCTACTTGGGAGTCTCAGCACTGATGTTGGACTACTTAATCATTTGAAGCTCTTTTAAGATGCATGCGAAAATGT